CGTCAATTTTACAGTGGGTGGTTGGCGGGTGCTCTGGTGTGGTTTGCTCCTTCTTTCTTATCAAACATCTATCGTCTTTATCTCCCCTCGTTCTTTTTTGTGTATGTTACTCTCTTGTAACACCTCTATTCTTCGGCACTTATATGACCTTATTGTGTTGCAAGTGCCGTAAAACTCTTATTAAAACTAAGTAGTTAGTTATATATAATATATATGTGTGTCATGACGTGGCGGAATCAGGCGCTCGTCAATTTTTGGGCGGGTGGAGTTATGAGTATTGCTTTAAAGCTTGTTCATTTGCCTTGTTTTCGATGAAAGAATGAGCCATTTATCTTGAGTACATCTTCAGATATCTGCCATTGAGTAAGGTGGGGGTCACCTGGTTTCAGAGGTAAAATTAGTGATAAAATGGCCACCAATGTATGGTTATTTACAAAGCCGTGGAAACTGACAATTAACATTTTTTGTGCCTTTAATCAACTTTTTTTCCATATAATTCACTCTGAAATGGGTTCTTAAATACACATAAAAGGTGTTAAGCTGGAAAACAAAATTTCGATGAAAATTGCCAAAGCAGTGGAAAAATGTAAGTTTCTTTACTTTCATTATTTTGACGAGCGCCTGATTTGACCACACTGCCCCACATATATAATAATATATCATTGCACAGTTCTCCTTTCCTCAGATTTCCCGCAGTAACTTTATTATTGCACCAGGACCCGGAATGCTACAGTTGGAATCTTCCCAAGAACAAATCAAATGTAGCATCATGCACGTCTTAGGTAAGTTCAGTCAAGAAAAAAAAGGAAGCCAAACATGAAAAACTATCAGTTCCTAAGTATAAGAAGCCCATCAAATCATCAAATAAAGAACAACTCAATCTTGCAACTTGTTCAAAGTCCTACACATAAATCAACAACAATTAATCACAGAAATACAGAAATACAAAACTACAGAAATACAGAAATACAGAAATACAAAACTACAGCCAGTTGGAGTCATAATGACCGCCACGTGTGGGCGCACCATTTGCTCTGTCGGTAGAACCAGGCTGGATTACCTTGTGGAAGACCTGAGTGTGAATAGATCAGGAGAAGCTTTGAATGACAGGACTTTCCACAGCTTTCTTTCTTCTCCATCCACTCAGCGGTATCAGAAACAGGCATTCTATCCATGGTCCCACCTCTTTGAAATATTTTGACAGGGTTGTAAGAGATCATGTGAAATCCGCAGAGTACACACACCCAACACACATACGACACACATACAACACACATACGACACACACGCGCGTGAGAAACTGGAATGTGGGTAGTGGGGCTGCCAGGACCAGGGAGAGTTTTCCACCTGCCCCGCTGCGCCAGGTTGTACACCTGAGAGAGACAATCATTGCAGGACGGTGACAAATTTGTGACAAAACTTATCTCTTCAACTTATCTCTTCAACTATCTCTTCAACTATCTCTTCAACTATCTCTTCAACTATCTCCTCAACTTATCTCTTCAACTATCTCTTCAACTATCTCTTCAACTTATCTCTTCAACTATCTCTTCAACTATCTCTTCAACTATCTCTTCAACTATCTCGTCCACGAGTGAATCAGTGTCACCCACACTTCACACAGCAGTTTTAACTTAATCAAATTTTTCTACAATTGAGGCTTGATTTATAAATCTCACCAAAGACGCTTTGAGTGGCAAAACTTCCTTAATCTTATACTGAACACGTTTTTTGCACCAAAGCTTTTCAAAATATGCGTTCAATAAGCATAATGTCAAAGTTTGAAAAAAAATGATGGACTTGCTTTGAAAAGTGATATTGTCCCAGCTGTAAACTTTTTAACAAAAATATTGATCTGTAACAACAAATTGATATAAGTCATTGTACAAAAGCTGGACCAATTATATTGGATAGTTAAGGAAATATTTGACATTAAGTTGAGCCATGAATTTTTGCCCGCACGCACTATAGAGAACCATGTCGTAGACCTTAGAAAGACAACAGCTAGTGACCTCATTGTAGAAAGACAACAGCTACTGACCTCATTGTAGAAAGACAACAGCTAGTGACCTCATTGTAGAAAGACAACAGCTAGTGACCTCATTGTAGAAAGACGATGGCTAGTGACTCTCGTTTGGCCCGGCACCACCCGCCTCGTCCATCTGTGAGATCAGCTCCA